TGAGAATCTCAGTTGCGAAGTTGTTACTGCCAAAAACAAACAGATTTTCTCTGGAGGAAGATGTTCTCCAAATTGGGGTTTACCCTAGATTGCCTGCGTGGATGACATGAGGAATGTTTGTGAAATTTCTAACATTATGTGGACAGTTCTGTTTTATTTTAGTTTCTTTGGGTCTGATATTATACTTAGAATGGTCCTGGGTGTAACAAATCAAACTTTTGTTCTTGTCTCTTCCTGCCCCATCTCCATGTTTATTTAAGTCAAATTGTGTTAAAATGATATTGAGGTTTTGGCAGAGAAAGAAGTAGGTAAGAAAGGTTATCATCAGTGCTATTTAAAGTTTCTCTTCTGTAATCCCGCGCCTTTGGGAGACTGAGGTGAGTGGATTGCCTGAGCCCGCGGGGTTGAGACCCGCCTGGGCAGCGAGACCTCATCTCTACAATAAATCAAAAAATCAGCCGGGCGTGTTAGCGCATGCCTGTAATTCCAGCTACTTGGAAGGCTGAGGTGGAAGGATCTTCGGAGCCCAGCAGGTCGAGGCTGCGGTGGCCGGGAGCGGCCACTGCACTCCAGTCTGGGCGACAGAGACTCCAACTCAAAAAAAAAAAAAAAAAAAAGTTTATCTTTCAGGATTTTGCAATGCCTACAGGCAGAATTAGTATTTCTTCTTCCAAGGCAGCTTTCTTGAAACACTGCGCTGTTGCCTGAGTCCTAAGGTAGAGATGTGAGTAGTTCAGTCAAAAATCTCCCTTGAAGTACATGAATAGATGGAAAAATGAGCTCTAGAAAATCTCCACTGGCACCACTAGAAATGCTTTTGGAAGTAGTGATAGTATAGAGAAAGAAATGAATTGTGTTTTAAATTAGTTAAAAGGATGGTGGAGGATGAAACTGTTTTATTTTCTCTTAATTTTAGTGTACTTTGCAATAATGATGGAGCATTGGAACTGAATCATACTCAGATTGTTTCTGGGGATGTGGCTTGTTTTTAGAGTTGATGGAGAATGTCATACTTATGTTGTTAGGTATATAGATTGAGAAATTTGTATCTCAAAGGAACTGATAAGATTATAACAAGAAATGGCAGCATATATTTTTAGACTCAAATGGTTTCTAGAGTTTAAAAAAAAAAATCTCAGTCTTAACTGTTTTTTTAAAGTACAATCAGAATGTAGAGAATTAGTTCCATGTCATCCAAACTTCGGGGGGGTCTGATTGATACACAAGAATGTTATTTAATATGATCAGTAAATTAATAAGCTAATAGGGTCATCTAAATCTGATATTCTACATAAGTTGGTATGACTGGTTAGGCGTTCAGATGATGGAGGAGTCCATCGACTTAAGGAGAAGAGAGAGTAAAGCCTGGATGAATGACCTGGGAGAGGATTTCTGGCAGATACTTGATGTTGTTTATTAGAGCTAGAAATGCTTGCCTGGAGGTACAATGATACAATTCTTCTTACTTATTAAAAACATGTACAGTAATTTTCTTTTAATTGTTTCTTATTGCTGATACAAAAGAGAAAAACAGAAATCTTGGGTGGTCAAGGATTAATTTTTTTATTTTCATTTACATTGATATATTTTTTTACTTTGGGGTTTCTGTTGATTGTAGTTGAACAAAGATTTTGAAATTAATTCTTACCTATTTTTGTGTATGTTTTTGGATGACTTTAGACTCAGGATTTGGGATTTTAGAACCATAGAGTTTTATTTGATTACATATATTTTATTTAGGTTTAGTACTTCTCTGTTTTAACGACAGAGTGTAATAAAATGAATATTATAAAGGAGAATAATGCAAAATGTATTATATTTACCAGTTTACTTATGGAATATTCAGAATTATGGAACCACTAATTTTTTTTTTTTTGGAGCTGGAGTCTCAGTCTGCTGCCCAGGCTAGAGTACAGTGGCATAATGATGGCTCACTGCGACCTGTACCTCCTAGGCTCAGGCAATCCTTCTGCCTCAGCCTCCCTATTAGCTGGGATTCAAGGCCGCACACCACCTTGCATGGCTAATTTTGTTTGTTTATTTTTTTTCTGTAGATATGAGGTCTTGCTATGTTGTCCAGGCTTGTCTCGAACTCCTGAACTCAAGCAATCCTCCTGCCTCCGCCTCCCAAAGTGCTGAGATTATAGGTGTGAGCCGCCCTGCTGGCCAGAACCACTATTTTAAGGCTTGATGATTCACACTGCAAAGTGGCAATCAAAAGATTATGTTTAATTTGGGAGTTTCTCAGGAGGACTCAATAATAGTACTTCCTTTTCTACCTTGCTTTGGAACCAGCTGGGAAGCGAAAGAGTGGCAGATGTGGGCCAAAATGACTTTCTTGTTGACAAAAATGTGTTTGGAAGATGTGCTGCAGCCAAATGGGCCCCAAAACTGAACCACAAAACATGCATACTTGTACACTCAACATGGAAGTGCCGTTGAGGAGGCTGGCTAAGTGCCGAGGAGGGTGGGGCTGAGGCCAATATACAGTATAGTCTTCCTACTCAGATAACTCACTTCATCAGTGGATGTGTGACAGATTACCACAAACTTGGTAACTTAAAACAATGGAAATTAATTTAACAAATAAGTCTAAAAGTATCAGAGGGTTGATTTCTTTTGGAGGCTCTGAGGGAGAAACTGTTTCATACTTCTCTTCCAGCTTTTGGTAGCTGTAGTCAGTCCTTGACCTTTCTTGGCTTGTAAGTGGGTGATTTTAATTTCTGCTTGCATTATTTACATGATCTTTATGTCTATCTGTGTTTGTTTCCTCTTCTTTTCTAAGAACACTCACCATTGGATTAGGACCCACTCTAATCCAGGATGTTCTCATCTCTAGATCTTTACCTTAAATACATCTGAAAAGAGTCTTTCTCAAATGAGTTTACATTTACAGGTTCCAGGCAGACTTATCTTTTGACTACTGTTCAACCCACTAAAAAAGGTGAAGAGACCAGGAGTTGTATTTGTTTACTCACTGATGGCTAGGAGACATCAGCAGTCAGGGCAGATATGCCTTCGTTTCATTCATTCCCCAGCTCTTTGTTTTTATGGTCAACCACATGTAGAAATTCAGCATACCAGCCTTATTCCTACCCTGTATTTGCATCATTGGCATTATCTTCAATTTGTGTTTCTTTGGCAGAGTCTTTTAAAGTGACTTGACCATTTTGTGACCATTGTGGTTAAAACTAAGTAATATAATCTGTATATCCACTTAACTGTCTACAAATAAAAGACAGTTTGTCACAACATACTGAAAGCAGACAAACCAGTGATGGTGCCATTTCAACACCCAGGGGACACAGAACTCCCAAAATTCAACAGATGCTTTGTGACCTGTGTTGGAGTGACTGAGTAAGGGTGCTCTTGTTGTTTTGACTGTTGAACATTAGTAAAGTGTAATTTTGTTGTTGTTGTTGTTCCTTTCTGAAAATAAATAGAAACAAATGTTTCTCTCCTACATTTTAAGAGAAGTGCAGTACCCAGGATGTATGAATCTCACTTTAGAACACAAAGGTCTGGATCTTCACTAACTGTTAAATGGGTTTTTTGCAATGATGTAAAGGGTCTATTTCCATGTGCTCCAGATATAGAGCACTGGAAATATGGCTAAATTTTGCAACTGGGCAATTGAGTTTTTATTTCACTTAATTTTAATTAATTTAAATGCAACTTTAAATAACCACATGTGGCTGGTGGATTGTATTGGACAACAAAGGCTAGATGTTTGTCAGTGCATACGCATTTGCTATGGAGAGTACTAATAATGTAAAAAGACCATAACAATAACCATAACTTGTCAGTAATTTAATTAAAAGGTCTTTATTTTAATGATGTAACAGCAGCCAAGGAAAAAGTTATCCTGAATTAGCAGCTTTTCTGTACTTTTGAACTTGTTTCAACTTGGAGATTTTTTTCCCATAACTGAAAATTAGATGAAATTTTAGATTCTGTTTTATAACTACATTCTCTAAGCCTAAAATTATAACACAATTCTTTCTTTGCAGGCAAAATATCGATAAATAATGAAGTAGATTTCAACTTGGGGATGTGTTTGCTCGGGAAATTTTAAGTATAAATGCTTGTCAATCATTTTACATTTCTCTGCTGAAAATGTAAATTAATAGGCACAGAAAGATTTTACTTAAAAGACTGTTTATCTTTAAAATGTAACTTTTTCCCCAGTATTGTAATACTTAAAGAAGTAGAGGTTGTCACTTGAGTTAAATTTATTTTTCAGACACGTAAGCATTTCCATAAGCATTTGCCATTAGCAAATTCTAAACCTTGCCATAAGCATTTTATTATATAAAACTTTTTACTTCGTATCTAGTTAATCCATTGCTTTTTTTTGGTCTTTGATTGAAATTTGACTGGAGAAAGTACTTCTCCCTACTGCCAGTACTTATACTACCGCATTAGATTTAATGACATTTTAAAAAAGAAAATATGAAAATAAGCGCAATTCACACTTGAAATTTCTGTCATTTCATGAGTATTGTATTCTTCGTTTATACCAGAAGAGGGTGCACTTTAAACTTGTCTTTGAACAAAAAACATTCCTTTGCACTGCTGCCATAAAGTTAATGTCCCTTAAAAACATTGCCAAGCTCTTTATTTTCAAAGTATCACTTAATGTACATGGGGGGTGGGGGGGGAGAGAAGCTGGCTGTATGTGTGTGAGTTAGAGTGCGTAAGACTAAAAGCATCAGTTAATATACCTTTTATACAAAAATATAGCTAGGGTTTTCTTTTTCTGGCTTTCTGAAAATGAATTCAGAATTATTTTTAAAAAATTTTCTTCTTTTGAAGTTTTCTCTTTACCTTCCCCCCAAAACAAACAAAAGACACTTGATAATATATAACATAATTTCAGTTTTAACCTTACCTAAAGTTATCATTGTAAATCAAAGCATGACCATTAAGGAAAAGAAAAACAATATAAATGAAAACAGCCATGACTAGAAAGTGACTTTTATTCTTTTGTGTTTTGACAGCTTGAAGGTCCATGTGTTTTGCAAATTCAAAAAATTCGTAATGTTGCTGCGCCAAAGGATAATGAAGAATCTCAGGCTGCACCAAGGATGCTGCGATTGCAGATGACTGATGGTCATATAAGTTGCACAGCAGTAGAATTTAGTTATATGCCAAAAATAAGGTGAGTGACACTTTATTTTGTATATTTGTTACAGAGTGCTTGAAGGTGCTATTTAAATAGGGCCGTTTTGAGTTTTGAAAAGAAGGAATAAACCCTTAGTTGAATGTTACAACTTTTCTGATAAAATTATCAAACTTAGCCGGGCTCGGTGGCTCAGCCTGTAATCCCGCGCCTTTGGGAGGCTGAGGTGAGTGGATTGCCTGAGCCCGCGGGTTCGAGACCCGCCTGGGCAGCGAGACCTCATCTCTACAATAAATCAAAAAATCAGCCGGGCGTGGTAGCGCGCGCCTGTAATTCCGGCTACTCGGAAGGCTGAGGCGGAAGGATCGCCAGAGCCCAGCAGGTCGAGGCTGCGGTGGCCGGGAGCGGCCACTGCACTCCAGTCTGGGCGACAGAGTGAGACTCCAACTCAAAAAAAAAAAAAAAAAATTATCAAACTTTGCATTTCTGCTTTATCTGTATAAAAATAGTTAAAAATGTGAATTAGCTATTTCTTTATTCAGTATAAAACAGAAATTTAGCATGTTCTTGCGTGGAAAGTAGTCTTTTTAGTTTTGTCAAGAATTTTAGGTCATTTGTTTTTTGGAACAAACAAAATTTCTTTAAATATTTTATGGTTCCTTCCTTGCTAGTTTGCTCAGTAGCTGTGTGTATAATAGTGTGTCTATCGCACTACTTAATGATCTAGCAAAGTTTTATAGATTAATGAATTTTCCTAGGACATGATTGAAGTCAGGGAGATTCAAATGTCAAAACATATTCTAAGATGAAGAGGAACTCCCTAAGGAGTAATTTTCAAGTCTTTCTTTGTGTTATTTTCAAGAGAGCTTTTAGAGTCATGCATAATGGAATGAGAAAAGCAAAGAGAGGAAAGGGGAGTGTCTCCCTTATCCTCAGTGTCCCCATTAGGCCAGTCTGAGCTCTGTTTTCTGAGGTAGGAACACTCATTGGACATTTGAAAAACCTCTTCTCCTCTTAATCATTTTATATGTTCATATTTGCTCCTCTGGGTCCTTTGAGTTTTTTCACTTAAAAAAAACTCCTTTACCATACTTTTTTTTGAGTATACATTTATCAAGTATTTAGCATCTACTGTGTTTCAGCTGGAGGTACAAAGGTACACATGATTTCTATTTTGTCTCCCACTAGCCCATATGTTAATGAGACAGGAACAATAGGCATAGAATTATTAAAATAAATAGATTAACTGAAAGAACTAGGAGTTCAGAAAATTACCTCTGCTGGGGGTAGCCAGGAGTGGGACTTAAAATATTTTGAGAGAGATGGGAGTGGGGAATGGCACATACAAAAACACAGTGTTCCAACAAGAGAAGAGTGAGTGGTTCTGTTTGTGAAGCTTAGGTGATTTGGGATAGGGGTATATGGGAGGAAATGTGGTAGATTGAGGCCTTGTATGTCATACTTGGTGATTTCCCTTCTTTTTTTTCTTGTCAACTGGTGTCTGCCTCTGGTAAGAGAGGACTCCTCCTCAGAAGGTAGAATGTATGTCTGTCTAAAATGTTGACTTCTATATACAAAGGGGAGTTTATTGATTTTGTGATTGTTGCCATCTTTTTGAAGAGTAGGAGTCCTTCTTTTATGGAGAAGAAGCCTTTCAAACTCTTATGACAAATTCAGTTAGACCCCCCCATAAGAGTTCATTTGTGACTCAGAAGGAAGACTTGCCATATTCATTCTCTGACTTTACAGCTGTAATTTCTCTGAGGTAAATGAAAACTCGTGATCCGCCTAGAGAGGAAGGTGTGACCCAGTGCTGTCTGCTGTTGTCGCTTGTTGAATTTATTGCAGCTTGATAGCTGAAAAAGTTATTGTCATATGCTCATTCTCTCATCATTGAAGCAGCATGTCTCCTTTGGTGCCATGAAAATGACAACTTACAAAATTATTCTTACTTTTGGAGAGTTTGAAAGATTTTTTCAAATAAGTATGATTAGTAGTTATCTTAGAAGGAAGGTGTAACAACTCTAGATGGGATGAGCCAGGTGCGGGTATGGGTTATGTTGCCGCACAGAGGCTTTGCATTTCTCTGTGGCGCTTGTTTCCAGTCTTTCATCCTTCTCCTGCTCCAGCCTTGCTAGTTTTTTTGTTAATTCCAGTGAAGAGAGAGTAAAAGTACCTTGGTATGTTAGTCCGTTTTGTGTTGCTGTAAAGAAATACCTAAGACTGGGTAATTTATAAAGAAAAAAGGTGTATTTGGCTTACAGTTCTGCATGGCGTTGGCACACTTTGGGGGAGACCTCAGGAAGCTTTTACATGCGGGGGACATTGGGGAGACAGCATGTCACGTGATGACAGAGGAAGCAAGAGAGAGAACCAGCTTTCACATGAAATAATAGAGCAAGAACTCACTCATTACCATGAGATTGGCTCCAAGCCTTTCCTGAGGGATTCCCCCCATGACCCAAACATCTCATGATAGAGTGCTAAGCCCTACCTTCAACACTGGGGATCACATTTCATTATTTTTTTTTCTGACCTTCTGGACTCAGGTATCCCTTCTGCTTCAGCCTCCCGAGTAGCTGGGACTACAGGTGTGCGTCACCATGACTGCCTAATTTTTTTTTATTTTTAAGTTTTTTTTGTAGAGAGGAGGTCTATTTTTCCCCAGGCTGATCTCAAAGTCTTGGGCTCAAGCAGCCCTCCCACCTAGGTCTCCTAAAGTGCTAGGATTATAAGTGTGAGCCAGTGTCACTGTTCCTGATGGGAATTATATTTCAACATGAGATTTGGAGGGGACAAACATCCAAACTATATCACTTGGGAGTGCCAATAAAAATAGCAATTAAGCCAAAATATGCTCCAAATAAGGTTAGTTATAGTCCTGAAAGTAATTTAATAAAAGTTATATTAAAATTTTGGTCTCTGTGGAACCACAGAACAGCTAAAGCAAACCTGAGTGAAAGGCCAAAACTGGAGTCATCACACTACCTGTTTTCAAACTATACTACAAAACTAATGTAACCAGAACATCTTGGTACTGGCATAAAATCAGACACATTGACCCATGGAATAGGATAGAGAACCCAGAAGTAAATCCTTTTACTTACAGCCAACTGATTTTTGACAAAGGCATCAAGAACATATATTGGGGAATGGACAGTCTCTTTTAAAAAAATGTTTTTGGGAAAACTGAATATCCATATACAGAAGAATGAAATGAGATTTCATCTTTCTCCATTTACAGAAACCAACTCAAAATGGATTAAAGACTTAAATATAAGACCCCAAACTATGAAACTACTAGAAGAAAACATTGGGGAAACACTTCAGGACATTGGTCTGGGCAAAGTTTTTTTGGATAAGACCTCAAAAGCACAGGCAGCAAAAGTAAAAATAGACAAATACCATTACATCAAGCCAGAAAGCTCTTATACAGCAAAGGAAACAATTAACAAAGTGCAGACATAATCGACAGAATGGTAGAACATGTTTGTGAACTATCTATCTAACAAGGGATTAATAACAGGAATCTATAAGGAACTCACATAACTTGAACCCCACAAATAATCTGTTTAAAAATTGACAAAGGACCTGAATAGGTGTTTCTCAAAGGAAGACATACAAATAGCCAACATGTATATGAAAACATGCTCAGCATCACTAATCATCAGAAAATGCAAATCAAGACCACAATGAGATATCATCTCACCCCAGTTAGAATGATTCTTTTCAAAAAGACAAAAAATACCTTCTACAGTTTTGGTATTTGACCATCCAAACTGCATTTGGGGTTTGATCCGCATTGTTGGAGGTGGAGCCTATTGAGAGGTGTTTGGGTCTTGAGGGTATATCTTTCATAAATGGCTAGGTGCCATCCTTGTGATAATGAGTTCTCTGTTAGTTCCTGTGAGAACTGGTTGTTAAAAGAGCCATGGAACCTGCTCCTAACTCCCCCACCCTTCTTCTCCACGTGATCTGCATACTCCCCTCTTTCTGCCATGAGTGGAAGCAGGTGAAAGTCCTCACCAAGTGCACACACTGGTGTCATGCCTGTACAGCCTGCAGAGCTATGAGCCAAATAAACCTCTTTTCTTTATATATTACCCAGCCTCAGGTATTCCTTTATAGAAACACAAATGGACTAAGACTATAACAGATGCTGGTGAGGATACAGAGAAAGGAGAATGCTTGTACACTGTTGGTGGGAATGCAGATTAGTACAGCCACCATGGAAAACATTATGGAGGTTCCTCAAAAAACTAAAAATAGAAATACTGTATGATCCAGCAGTCCCACTGCTGGCTATATATCCAAAAGAAAGGAAATCAGCATATTGAATAAATATCTGCACTCTTGTGTTTATTGCACTACTCATAATACCCAAAATATGAACTCAATCTCAGTGTCCATCAGTGGTTGAATGAATTTTCAAAAAGTGGTATATGTGCAGGAGGAACTCAAATTATTCTACAAAAAAGATACTTGCACATGCATGTTTATTGCAGCACTATTCACAATAGCAAATATGAAGCCATCAGTGCTGCCCATAGAAAATAGACTGGATTTTAAAGATGTGATACATATATACAGTGGAGTATTATGCAGTCATAAAGAAGGACAAAATGAACTTTGCAGCAACTTGGATGAATTTAGAATCTATAATACTCAGTGATCTATCACAGAAACATAGAACTGAGTACCACATGTTCTCACTCATAAGTGGACCCTGAAATGAAAAATTATCATAATCCTATAAGAAAGGGATTAGTAGTAGTGGAAAACTGCCAGGTGAGGGGGTGGCACACTTCATCAATAAGGGTAAATGATCTCAAACCAGGTGAAGTGGGGACCAAATGAGGCCCAAACTTTACCTGTACATTTGTATACCTAACCCTGAATTGTGCCTAGCATTTTTAAAATAAAAATTTTAAAAAGTGGTATATGTATATATTTACAATGGAATATTATGTTGTCATAAAAAATATGAAATCCTGTTATTTGCAACAGCATGGATGCAACTGGAGGGTGTTAAGTGAAATTGTAGTTCCATCCTCAAATAATTTGACTTTTGTCTTTGGTAAATTATACAATTTGTTAATAATTTCCTTAGAGATAAAGAGTACAGCAGCCTGGTACTCTTGGTGCTTCTATTTTGATTTATCCCTGTATGATGACAGTAGAGTTATGAAAATTTGGATTTGCTTCCTAGAATTGGGAAAAATGTCTTCACTTAGTGCTGCTGTATTCAGTTGCTCATCTTGAAGTCTGATTGAGGTTTATGCTACATTTACTATTTATCTCCACAGAGCTCTCTGCTTAAGGGTTAGGTTAGGCAAGGATTTTCATGTCCCTTTGTCCCTTAAGTTGTGAGAGATAACTAAAACTGATAAAGCCTGAGATCCTCAAAAAAACAATTTTTTTTTAAGAGATAGGGTTTTGCTCTATTGCTCAGGCTAGAGTGCAGTGCTGTGATCCTTCGACCTCAGTCTCCCAAGTTGCCAGGACTACAGACATGTAATTTTTATTTTTTGTGGAGATGGGATCTTGCTATGTCTTGAGCTCCTTGCCTCAAGTGATCCTCTTGTCTTGGCCTCCCAAAGCGCTGAGATTATAGGCATGACCCACCATGCTCTGCCTTAAAATATGGCTTAATAGCTTTATTGAACTGTCATTGACATATACAAATTTTATATATATATAAATTATATGGTGTACAGAATAATTTCTAGTATATAAACTATCTTACTGTATATGGGCTTTTTGAAGCTTTAAAAGCAGATATTCTTTATTTCTTCTTGCTAATAACTTCTATTAACCATCTTTCTTCACAAAGGCTAGTAATATTAGCACTCTCACTGATTTGCTTTTGCATATATCAGCACATGATGAGTTTTAGGAGCTTTTTAAACGTGAACAATGTGAAGCCATTTCAGGATAATTTTCTAGTTTGTCCCAAGTGTTTTAGGGTAGACTTTACTACAGGAATACTGTTTGGAGTATTTTACACTCTGCTATATGTGGGAAGAGGTAGGGTGGGGCACCAAATGCTTTTACTTTGGAGCAAACCTATGTGATGAAATGTATTTCTTCCTTTGTTTTCTTTACCAGATGGTTAGCGGGAGAGTAAACAGCTTGTCTCTGGTTATTATAAAAAGGAGTCATGGTGTAATGTTTGGCAAAATCTGATATTATTAACCTGTTATAGAAGCGTTGTTTTAAAATTCATGTGTAAATAGTTTAAAGTTAATATGTAAAGTTAGTATATAAATAGCTTAAAGTTAGCATGTAAAAAGTCCTTTTAAAGTTATTGTGTAATTGGTTCTTTGACTAGATGGTTAACAAAAAAGAGCATTATTTTGTATGAATTACTGTAGCTCATATAGATGTTAAATTTTTAGAATTATTACTGGTCAGATACCTTCTGCATTGAAATTTAATGTTGGAACATGTATGCAATGCACAATCAAAGCTCAGAGGAAAAAGGTGGTAAATCTTACATATATACAGTGTGGCATAATTGAGAAAGTACTTGAAAGTATTTTAATAGCTTTATTTCTGTTTATCATATCTTTATTTTTTACAACTTTGTGAGGTGTCATTGTTGTCCACTTTTTTTTTGTTGTTGTGGAAACTAAAGCTTTTCTTTTTTTAAAAAATTAAGCTAGAAAATGGCAATTTTGTTTCTGGTCTCTCAACTTCATCCCTTGTGATCTGTTTATGTTATATAGCCTGTCTCCTGAAGAAAGAGTTTTGGTGTTAGTGCATTTTGAAGAACTTGATTAAGTCATAGTGTGAGGCTGAATTTCAGTTTTGGGGAGGAGCTTCAATGTATTTGTAACTCTCTTTGTTCTGTATGTAGCCTGAACACACCACCTGGAACTAAAGTTAAGCTATCAGGCATTGTTGACATAAAAAATGGATTCCTGCTCTTGAATGACTCTAACACCACTGTTCTTGGAGGTGAAGTGGAACACCTTATTGAGAAATGGGAGTTACAGAGAGTAAGTGTAAACTGAGAATAATGGCTACAACTTTTAAAACATTACAGTCTTTTTATTGCATTGTCTTATTGTAAAGAGATTTTCTCATAATGAATGATAAAATTAGTCCTTTGTGTCAAAGTTGAATAGAATGGAATATTATGACCTTTAGTAGAGCTATCTTTGTCTTAGCATATTGTTTCTCCAAAGCAGATATGATATTTAAATATTTGTTATATTTTATTGCATATTTAAGAAAATCATTCTTTACTGACAGCTTTCAAAACTGCCAAGATACTAGTTATAAGCTATATATAATATGTACATAATTAATATATATTAATAAATATATAATGTATAATTCTTTTTGCAAGAACTAAAAGCATTTGTGCACGTGTGAATATAATGTATGTATATTTGTCACATCTGCATACACACATACATGCAAGTAAAAGCAAGTTAGAATTTCACCATGATTCATGGATTCTTGTTGCATTTGACTTCCTGTCTCATTAGTTGATGCTTTTCTTCAATTATGTTAACAATATCTTCATGTCCTCAGTCATATAGATTATCTTGTAAATGTTTCTCTACTTTGCTTGCAGTAACCAATTCACCGCAGCCAAACTCTTATCAGTCTTGACTCTCATAACAGTTTCATTGCTGTTACTGTAGCTTAGGTCTTCCGTTTCTTTTGTCTGGACTACTACAGTAGCCTTTTGACTCTCTCTCCACATATTTTTTCTCCATTTTCTAATTTACTTCATGTACTTCTGACAGATTATCTTCCTCCAGCATAGTTTAGAACATATCACACCCTACTTTTATTTCAATGCCTTAATTTGGGATTCAAGGCCATTTATAATCTGACCCAAGTTCCAGTTTGCATTTTCAATTTTCTGAATTCTTATACAAAGATTTTGTTCGAGCCGAATAGAACTGCTTCTTGTTTCTTTGATTCCTTATATATCCCTTAGTTAAGCAACAACAAAAAATTGTTGTTTTGAAGCAACAGCAAAAAAACTTCCTCACTTTTACGTCTCATTTTGTTTCCTCTGCCCTAATCTCCACATGGCCAAATTGTTCTCATGCTTTTAGACTGAGATCAAATGCTTGCTTCTTCATAAAGTGAAAGTAGTTTATCTTTTATTTATTTATTTAATTTTTATAGTAAGATGTTTAATGAACTAAAACATGCACATCAAACATTAAGTGAAGACATTTCCAGGAAATATGTAGGAATATGAGGAAGTTTATATAACCAGCCCTTCACTAAAATCTACCAAAATAAAATAGTCAAGAAACTTGAAACTTTCTAGAAAGTAGTTTCAAACTTATACCACAGACTTTATCAAATATCTTTTAGGAAGAGTATAAATGGAACAAAACTGAAAGTAAACACTACAATTTGACATTAAGTCTTTCTAAAGGCAATGACTCAGTGTTTCAGAAAGCAAGTGAAATAAGTCTGGAAAATTCCAAATAATAGTCTCCATTTTGGAACATCTAGGCATGGAAGGAACATTTCTCAAAACAGTAAGAACCATCTATGATAAACCCACTGCTAACATACTGCTCAATGGACAGAAGCTAGAAGCATTCCCTCTAAAAATGGAAACAAGACAAGGTTGACTACTCTCACCCAACCTGTTCAGCATAGTGCTGGAAGTCCTAGCTAGAGCAATCAGACAAGAGAAGGAAATCTGGGTTATCCAAACAGAAAAAGAGGAAGTTAAGCTATCCCTCTTTGTGGATGATGTGATTCTATACCTAGAAAGCTCAAGGGAGTTCGCCAAAAACCTCCTTGCATGGGTAAATGACTTTGGTGAAGTTTTGGGGTACAAAATCAGCATGCAAAAGACAGTTCCATTTCTATACACCAGTAACAAACAGGCAGAGAACCAAATAAAAAGCACAATTGCATTCACAGTAGCCAGAAAAAATAGGAAAAAAGAAAGAAAAAAAAGCAATACCTTGGCATGTTCCTAACCAAAGAAGTGAAAGACCTTTACAATGAGAATTATAAAACACTGCTCAAATAAATTAAAGAGGACACACACAAGTGGAAAAAACATTCCATGCTCGTGGATTGGAAAGATCAATAATGTCAAGATGTTCGTCGTACCCAAGGCAATCTATAGATTCACTGCAATATTCATCAAATTATCAACATTCTTCTTCTCAGACCTGGAAATGACAATACAGAAATTCACATGGAAACAAAGAAGTGCACGGATAGTTGTTCCTTTATTGGATTCTTTAAGTACTTTATTCTTGTTAACAGTGTATTACTTTTAACCTAGCACTAAAATTATTTTTCTTATCTCTTTTAACAGATTGTAAGCTTCTTGAGGTCAGAATTCTCATTTGTGTCATCTTTGTTCATTTTGACAAATATTTGCAGAACAGTGTGTATTTACTGTGCTGAGTTCTTGTATTAGTATCTCATGTTATCCTCCTAATAGTCTTATAAAGGGGTATTATATCTATATAGATTAAAAAATGGACTTCTAAGAGCTATTTGATAATTTACTTTATGGTTAGACAGCTAGTAGGTGATGGAGCTGAGCAGAATCCAAGACCATTTCTGTTAGATCAGAGCAACCTTCCTGTCTGCAAAGTGGTAGCCCTGAGCTTCTAGACAGTAGACGTCATAAAAATACTTGGGGAGTGAATGAATTGCAAAACACATAAAATATTTTTGGAATGAATGAATTGCAAAGCTAATTACTCTTTGAGCTGAAATTGATGTTCTTGTACCACCTTCAAATCTTGCCTGCTGTCTAAAGCCAGCCAAGGGCCTAGCAATATTTCAAGCTTTTGGTATTTTATGATGCATCACTGTCTCTTATTTTCTTAGCTGAAAAGTGCCTGTGGTTGGAAGGTAAATGGGTAAGGACATTTAGGCACATTTGTATTCCTTAGTATTCATTTCTTATGATACTAATGTAATACTAGTGTGCTATGTTTGGGCTGCTGTACTGTGCAATAGAAGGTAATATTTTTAATTGCGTTGTTTAATTGAAAATGGCATCAAAAAAGTAATTCAGAAGTGGCCTAATAGTTTTACATTAATAGGCAATTTTAAGAACTTTGCATTCCCTTCACGCATTTCATAAGTTATGTTTTTTTTTTGTTACCATTAGAGATTTTTTAAAGGGTAGTAAAATGTTCTTAATTCAGACCAACATCTTACATAAATTTCCCCCAACCCAGCCAGAACCACCTTACTAATAACCATAAAGTCAGCTAAACATTCCTAGGAACCACCTCACCCTCAACTCACATACCCACACATACACTTACTCGGTGTTTAGTAGTAATTTGATAGTTGTCCTTGAAATGGTTTATTTTGCGTCTTTGAACTTTGCTTCCTGAAAGCCACATTAGTATTTCTTGTTCAGGGTGATAAAAATTTGTGTTTAAAATAGTTTAAGAACATCTGAATATGATTAAATTCTAATTGTTTTTGTGTTTTTTTGGATTTGGTAACCATAGCAATGTAAGAAACATGGAAAGAGCAATTATGTGAGCAGCTGGCAATTGGTACACATGGAAATCAAATGCATACATAGCAGTCATAAGCCAGTTAATTTTAGAAGTAAAGGATATAACATTCGTGTAAAATAGGTGAAGGGAACAGCTGGTAGAAAACTACATGCAGATGTTGTAGCTGTATCACGTTGGTTTCAGAAAGGTGAAGAAGAGAAACTCAGACCTTAAGTGTTATGTATGCTCGTGTGATTCTCGGAAGTTCTATGTAAGATATAATTCACAAAATGATGTAGTTCCATGACATTTTAGTTTCTCCATGTTACAGATCTGTTTTTAAAAAATTTCTTTGTGTGTTTGTGTGTGTGTGGGGTAAAGTATACATAGCATAAAATTTAACCATTTTTAAGTGTACAATTTGGTGGCATTAAGTAAATTCACATTTTTGCCCAACTATCACCACCACCCATCTCCTGAACTTTCTCATCTTCCTGAACTTAAACTCCACCCATTAAACAGTCACTTGTCATTCCTCCCTCCTCTCCGTCTTTGGCAGCCACCATTCTACTTTCTGTTTCCATGAATTTGACTATGCTAGGTAACTCATATGTGAAATCATTCAGTATTTATCCTATTGTACTGGCTTATTTCACTTAGCATAACCTTGTCAAGGTTCATCCGTATTGTACCAAGTATCCAAATTTCTTTTCTCTTTAAGGTTGAATAGTAATGTTTTATATATGAGGTGTGACAAGTTTGCAAACTCATCCTAGAAAAAGTGCTACATACCTCATTGCTGAATATCACTATGGTCACAATCGAAGTACTCCCCTTGGGAAGCTGTGCACCAGTGCCAGCTCCTAGTCCATCCATCAAAGCAGTTTTGGAACTCTTATTCTAGAATGATTGTCGGAGCTGTTGTCACAAGAATGTCGGAGTTTGAGTTAGAGCAATGAGGAGACATTAAATTTCTTGTTAAACTTGGCAAGAGTAGAAGTGAAATCAGAGACACATTAGTCCAAGTTTAATGGAGATACTGCCATGAAGAAAACGCAGTGTATAAATGAATTAAATGCTTTTCTGAGGGGAGAGAAAGCATCACTGGTGAAGAGAGGTCAGGACAGCTAGTAATGAGCAGAACTGACAAAAAGATTGCAAAATTTCATCGAATTATGTGTCAAAATTGCCAGCTGACTGTGAGAAGCATAGCAGATCAAATAAACATTGATAGAGAAACAGGAAAATCTTAACTGAAAATCTTGACATGGGAAAGGTGTGTGCAAAAATGGTCCTGACGGAGCTCTTGCATCACGCCAATGCACCAGCTCACACAGCATTGTCTGTGAGGGAGTTTTTAGCCAATAAGCAAATAACTGTATTGGAACACCCTCCCTACTCACTTGATCTGGCCCCCAGTGACTTTTTTCTTTTCCCAATGATAAAAGAAATACTGAAAGGAAGACCTTTTGATGATATTCAGGACATCAAGGGAAATACACTGACAACTTTGATGGCCATTCCAGAAAAAG